GCCTGCCACACATTTTAGGATTTGGTAGAGTCCGAGGGGGGGGTTCCTTTTTTCAGCGTTTTTCGTGGTATGAATGTGCGATGTTGTTGTGTGTTGAATGCGTCTTTTTGCGCCAGAAAATGCAGAACCCCTGAAGTTTTGTAAAGACGAAGGCAATCTTGCAAACGGAAGCCCGCAAGTTTTGTGAAGGAGCGCAACTTTGAAGCACTGCCCCAGGAAAAGTGAGCTGTTGCTGAGACATGCCCTAAACCCTAAACCACCCGAAAAAATCCCAACTTAACCCTATGGATTTTATATTATAATAATCCATAAAGCTACTACGACCCTTGGACTAATGGGGTGTAGCTTGGACTAATGGGGCGAATCTTGGACTAATGGGAAAATTCAAAATTAGTTCAGAACTCCTCAAGCCCTTGGCCTAATGGGGCGTAGCTTGGATTAATGGGGCGATGATAAAATTAAATCATCAAAAAACGGTAGATCCCAGAAACGAGCTAAAAAAGGAACCAAGTCCGTTTGGGTTACAATGAGCAAAAACCAATAGAAATACCATTACGAATGCAAGGAAAACACAGCGTCACATATGGGACGCGCACCTAGTAGTAGTAGCACAAGCAGCAGCAGACGCAGCAGTAGCGGTCCAGAAAGCCGTGAATTTTAGGTGTCCATTGAGACGGGGTCCATCACAGACAAGCTGCCTGGGCACTTCCTGCAACTTGCAGGCTGCGGCAGGATATGACCCCAGAGCCTGCACTGTGCCAGGGCTGGTTCTTTTGACCCTGATAGCTCTGTAGTTTCAGATGTGTTTTTTGGAAGGCAGCGAACAAGCAAGCTAGGATGCTCTTTTCATAGAAGCCCTCCAAAAAGGCAGATAGACTGGAAATTCACACCAGATTCGGCATAGGTTCCATCTTATAGCCGGCCCTTGTTTCTGCTCAAAAATTACAGGCTGCCGTCAGTAAGCACACATCTTTCCAGTGCCAACCCACCACATCTTGCTATCGGCTAGCACTAAAGCCTTGGGAACCTGCGCACAGAATATACTCAGGCCCTGAAGCTCAAACCCATGCTGGGTGGGCAGGCAAGCGGCCGCAAGGCTTACTCGTGTTGACCTCCTGCTATCAAGCCCCCTTGTACTTGCATCAGCTTACCTCCGAACATGGGACCTGAATCCAGTTTTGGTAATCTCTGAGCCACTTGCAAAGACTTTCTATTCCTGGGCAAAGAAACACATATCTAGCTAAAGCAAACACAAAACCCCAACCCCCCCTTTGCTAAAGTTTCAGGCCTGCGTTTTCTGGCCTCGACTGGTGCCACGGATCATGCCGAAGGATCCGCCTGTTCAGGGCAGATTCCTTGGGGTTTCGGGGTTGGGTATGGTTGGCAGGGGGGAACGTGGACGATATAGTAGTATAGAAAGCAGGGTAGCAGCCCCATGATTCGAAGAAATCAGGAAAACTGCATGTACAGATCTCGAAAACCTAAGCAATGTAATCCGATTCAAGCAAAAGGAGGGGGATGAAAATGAATAACTCAAACGCATACCTTTGACTTGCTTTCTGAGTTTGTGTTTCGCTCTTTCATCTTCTGTGCTGTCCTACGGGTCAGCAGAGACACCGAGCCCCAACACTTCCAAGTAAGCAGCATTTGGAGACTTGAGATGCCAATGTAGGCTATAACATGGTTACTCAGGGTTTGCATGTGGAAGTGGATCGAAAGATTAACCTACTTCATAAATGCCCCCTGACCCCCAAAAGTAAGGCCCAGACAAAGATTGCTGCACCTGGAATTGCGGAGATGCCCAGTCACGCAGGCAGAACCGGCAAGCAACCCTAGGGACCCACTGGTAATGTCCTCCGCCTAATAATGAGACTGACCCCCCGCCCTGATCAAAAATGATTCCGCCTGATACATGATGCTACTATAATGGGGACATTTATCATTTGGGGGTGGGGGTTACTGTATTATCCGGGGAGGCACTATTCTGTGTATCTTCAGAATCCTAGCGTCGTACGCGGGAAGCAATGACACCATCTATGGGTAGTATTGTCACACGCTGATGCCTACGTACCGCTCACACGTGTTGATTGGAAACATATAATGTTCTGTTTGACCTGTCAGTCGTCAAGGGTATCCAGCTTTGACTGCGATGCATTTTAAGTCCTTCACTGAATCTCCTGCCTACTCCCAATTCGGACGCAACATGTTTTTCATGTTGCTTCTCATGACCGGGCATCCCTCAAACCCTTAGTACTACGCTGCTAACTCCTAAACCCCTAGACTGCTCATCCTTTCCTTCACCTTCACCCTAAACCCCTAACCAGCCTCCAGGCTTCCCCAGAATCGTGCTCAAAGCTCTCTTCCCCGCAGATGCCAAGGTGTTGTGCAAGCCCAGGGTCCTGAAGCGGCGTTTGCCGGTGTTTGGGGCTTGGCCCCTTAGCCCTAAAGTCTTAGCTCTAAACTCCTGAATCCCTCAGCGCCAAAAGCCTAAACTCAAAAAAAAACAGCAAAACCTATACCAGCTTGATGGACCCCGCGCCCAAAATCATTGTTGACGTTCGTTACTTTCCCCTTGTTTGCTGCTGCTTCCGGTGACAATATTCCTTTGCTTTTGGTAGGCAGGATGTGGGGTTAGATGCACTCAAGTACAACGGCCTTGAACGCAGCAAACGATCGTACCAAACATACCTGAGCCGTGACACCCCCCTGTAGCTCTCTGCACCCGCAGTATCTAAAAACGTGAAGTGCAAACTATATGGCGACCATGTGTGGAGAAGTCCAGGTTGATCTGGTTCGGTCAACAAAGCGAATCACGCTGGGATATTGTCCCAGGCCTGTTTCGGCTGTAGGTTGATTTGTCACTATTCATCCAGTATATGTTGCACTACCACTGATGCCTTGTATCCCTTTCTCTGAGGTAACTCTTTGGACCGGGGATTCTTAGGTCTTAGAATGCTACAGGATGTGTTTGAGCAACGCAACTCATACCTTTGGCATATCAGGACCTGTCCTCGGACAGCCAAATTCGCTTGAGGTGGCTCTTGAAGGAGCCTTGGAGCAAGCCACGAAATAATCTGGCATCGCAGCGATGTTGAATCACAATTAGCGCGAGTTCCCCATAAGATCAAGCTCTCGAAAAAAAATGTCAATACCTCAAGTGCCCAATAAGTAAAGTTTTTGCTGCCCAAAAATGTGCTGGTGCAGAGGCCAGAGATCTAGCGGCTTGAAATTAAAGGTTGGGAATCTACCATCTGATGCTGCCAGAACCATCAATTTCTTATCAAGCCACTTGTGCGATCAGTCTAAGTAAACAAATTCCACAAGGGGTGATCCAGCAAGTGGCTTGTGAGGATAAGTAATGATTTGGGGGGCCCAATACTGCTCAGTTTTTTTGGTGAGTCACAGTGGTGAGGCCAGAAAATTAGTGGTGTAGATCAGAGCTTTGAATGCAAAGGCCGGCATTCTTGTTTGCGACGAATAAAGGAAACCAACTACTCCCTTTTTAATCATTCCTAATTGTTTTGAAGGATC